TTTCCAGATTAGACCTGCACATAAATGTGCGAGGAAGATAATATAGTGTCTCTTGTCTTCACATGCAAATGAGTGGTTTATGACCTCCATCTTTGATAGCAGTTTATGGCTGTTAGGATAACAAAGTATGCTGTGCTGCTTGGTTTATGTTGTTGTTGGCACCCTTACATCTTTCTAGACGATAGTGTATATTGTGCAACTGGCAATAATGGTTCATGGTGATGGCAAGAGGTGCAAAAATGACTAATCATTCTCTCTATTGCATCACTATCTTGGATTTTACAGCTGCAGTTTTCTATGGGATGCACTGGACCATCAGCACTCCTTGGTTGTCCTTCGTGATATGCATGTTGGGTTACAGTGTTACCTTTTTTTTGTTTCTTAAGGAAACTGGTAAGAGAAGACTGAGAGAACATAAGAATTAAAATATGACACACAGTTTTATATGTGTTTGTTTTTGTCTATTATTTATCTGCATATACAAATAATCTCGGAAACAGGAAAAGAGAGACAAATTCACTAAACACTGTCTATGGCTAGGTAGCTCAGTGAGGAAAGAAAACAAGAAAAATACACAGATACAACCAAAAGTTTCGAAAGAAATCCTTATCAATGAAAAAATAAACAAGAAGAAGCCTAAACACTATCCACCAAATTGGAGAAGAACTATAACAGAAATGTGTAAAGTAGGAGTATGAAGAGCTGTTGAAACAAAATGTAAACGAAGGAATGACAATAACTGTAATAATACTAACAAAAGATAAAATAGAAACGATAATATTTAGAAGAATGCATGCTGGACATTGAGTCTTGTTAGGCTAACATTTTAACTATGAATAAATAAGGTAATTGTCCGAAGAGAGACATATGATTTTAGGGCAGTGATAGGGATGTACAGAAGAAACAAATGTGATCACACAATAGTGAGACTGCGGTCTCTCATGAAACTAACCTGGAAGGCTAACATGGGCAGCAAATGCCTACAGAAGTTGGATGTTTTGGCCAGAAGGTGCAAATATCTTAGTCATGTACACGAGCACAATGCATTTACTTCCTCGGATGAATGCAGAAGTAGTAGAAGTTTCACAAGTATGGTCAGAAATTGAAATTATATACAGCATGTTGTGACAATTGAAAATATCTTTAACTGAGATGAAGGAAGACAGCATAGAAAGATTATTGACATCTTTTTGTCGTGGTATGGAAATATTTCAGCAAACAATTTGATACATAATATTGGGAATAGCAAGATATGGAGACATATGGGACACTTGATGAAAACGACGTTACATTAATTCTTCACGGTTTAAAAAATAATGCTCTTGGGGGGGTCACATAATTATATTAGGGGTCATTATAATTTTTTTGTGGGTTTGTTTGGTTTGTTTTTGTTTTCTGTTACCTTTGTTTTTTCTTTATCATAAACTTGATTGAATCCTGCATTTGAAATGTTGTGACTTATCTACTTATAAAAATTCCTGATACATGAAAAAATGAATAGTCTGTCAGCAATCATCTTCTGCTCTTTATCCTCGCCCCAGTAGAGCATAGACCTTCAACCAAATCATAGGGTAGTTAACGTTCTTTGGATATTTTCTCCAGGTAATGTTTTTGTGTTAGGAAACGAGCTGGCAGATAGACTAGATGGTTTTTCACCACATGGTGGTGAATTGATTGATGTATGACAGGCTGGATATTGTGAGGGCCCTTTGGGAGCGAGTGAACAGTGCAGAGCTACAAATTGATCATTACGATCTGAGGAGAATGGAGCTGGGAGGAGTTTACCAGGGATCTGACCAGTGCTCAAAACTCAAGGGAATTGTGAGACAGATATACAGTCAGACAGTTACTGGTGTCATCAGAATTGGAGCTCTTTGATTGCTGCTGAAGATGGGGACAGAGCACTTATGGGAGTGTCCTGAGTGCTGTGATGTTGATTCTCAGTTCAGCGTTCAGATCCCAGCTAGCCTTACTATCCTTTGCAATCCTATGCAGCTCATCCTTGTTCCATTTGACTTCATTCTCTATCTCTCATTCCATGTGTTCTTTAGTTTGCCCTGCCTTTGTTCCTTTAACCCTCACATTATCTGGCTGCTTTAAAACCTTTGGTGCTATCTTTTTAGCCGACCACAAATGACGCCATAGCTTAGTCCAATATTTTAGAAGGTGGTAAGAGTGAGTTTTCAGTGTTTTCTGTGCTTTAGTGCATTTCTTCCAAAGCCAAAGGAGTGTTTAGCTAACCCTAACCTTAACCAAAACTATACGCTTAATCTACCACCCCTGAAAATATTTGACTGTCCCGTGACCTGCGGATTTCCCATGTTTGTGGTCGGTGTCGTGAAATGATAGTCATTACACATCGGTCTGTAAGGCTGATAACCTGTCTTACCTGTAATCTGCACAAAATTCAAACTTGGACTCGCCCAGAAATATATAGTCCCTTATATCTAGATATATAGGCCTGTATTGGACAACATTATTATGTCTGCCTTTTCTGGTTACTTTAACTAAACTCCACTTTTAAATGTATTTCTTTTGGGGATATATTTAGGGAGTTAATTGAGGTTTCTTGGAAACCGATTTACTCCTTGCCCCAGTATACAAGGAACTTCTTTTGAAGCCATTCTCCTTGCCAGCTTCTCAAGCCTCCAGATGTGTTAATCTGTGCCTGTATACTTTAAATTTTCAAGGCAATCTGGATAGGGCTCAGTTTTACATATGCTTGGGTAAGTTAATTATAGTTTACGAGTACCTAGAATGTTGTCTGTAAAGTAGTCACTGCTGTAGAGAAATCCATATCGGCTGTGTGATCTCACTTAGCTCTACCATTCTTGATCGCTAGAGTAGCGGATTCGAACGTAGATCTTCCACTGTACAGACTAAATAGCTTATGCCCTCAATAAACCACCCATACTGATAAACATTTAATGCCCTTACAATTGTGTACGTTTTAAACTACTTACAGAATCTGTACATACGAGATGGGGACAGAATTGGGTCAGGGCTGTGTTAATCAAAGTATGTGTGTGCTTGACCCAGATCAATGAGTGCTGGGGCGGTTGGAAAACTAGTGAATGCAGGTACTGACAGTAAATATTGGTGTTTGTGTGCAGAGTGAGGGGGATAGGGGGAGATGATATATGTGTTAGACCACTTTATCTATCTCCACTGCATATCTGACTTGCCTTCTCTTGCACTAAACAGACAGATAAATATAGGAGACTTATGTCTTTTGGTCTGGAGAGACAATCTGAGGAATGAAACAGGAGAGCAGGGAGGAGACAGCAGATGGGAGTTGATGACTTGTGCTTGCTCTGTCTTTCCTGTCAAGATGTTACCCTATTGATGATGACTAATGCTGTTATTTTCTTGACAGGATGTATATTTTCTGAAGAGCTGGCAGAAGATTCACAGTCTCACCAACATCCACCAACAATCCTACCACCAGAACCAACTTGTTACCCACCAGCTAACACCTGTGAAGGTTCCTGACATCTCCAAAAATGGGGGAGATTGTGCCTCAAACAGCTACCAGTGCCAGAGCTTAATGTGGCTCAAAGACATTGTGTGTCCTTACTGGTAATAGAGACTTGCTAGATAACGATACAGTTGCTGTATAGTGAAGTACTCTTGCTACTTGATCCAGTGGAGCAGAATTCCCAGAGTCAAAGACAGTCAAATCATCCGGAGCTGAGGGAGGCATCATAGACAGAGATAAGAGAAGATAAGTCTAATGCTTCGCATGATGTTGTGTTCCTCACAGCTTCCTGGTTCCCATGATGACATATAGTCACCTCCAGGACCGGCTGTCTGCCTAGTTTCCTTAGGATCTAGACATTAGTGCTGAGATTCTTTCACTGATAGCTGGAATTCACTTCAATTGTTTTTGTACAGATATTATACTAAATACATGCATTCATTTTAATGGCTGACTTAGGTTTCTCTATGTCACCTTCTTAAGTGTTTAGCAGTTGTATGTGTATGTATCTTCATTATATGTGTTAACATGGTTATGATAATGAACTATCATAACCTGGGGGCTTTCTTTAGTAAGTAGTGGGGGTGTCCAGCCAAGTGTGCCTAGAAATATATATATATATATATTGACATATTTTGTAGTGCCAATACTTGAGTTGCCCTACTCCAGAGATAAGTTGATCGTATATTGGCCACGGGGAATCCCTTAGACCAATACGAGCCAAACGACTCAACAAAATTATCTCTGAGTGCTGCTGGTTCTGAAGGAGAAATCCTTACATTAGGCACGCGACAGGAGTGATATGTGACAGTCGGCTAATAAAAATGTACCAAACTTAAAAAAAAATATAGACTTTTCAACTTATTTAAAATTAACATAAGTGATGTAAACTGTCATTTTTAATGCTTTTTTTGTTTCTCAGCATTTCTGTGAAAGTGAGGATTGTTGTGTCTACAGTGCTGATTACTGTGATATTTATTGTAACCACAGCCCTAGTTGAGGTAGATACAGACTCATGTAAGTTTTTTCCCCAATAACTTTGTTGTTGATTTGATTTAATACACCCCTGTGTGTTCCTGAAACCCCATTTTTGGGGGTCCAAAAAACATAAAAATAGATGCACTGATTCTTAACAAGCATGTTTTAAAAGAGGAATAATTAATTCAGGAGATCGGATATGTTTGGCCGAAAGGTGCAGATGTCCCAGCCTAGTTGTAAACCACAAATCAACTGCCTTTCAATGTTGAATGAAGAAGAAGGACAAGAAGATTTAAATATATTTCTGGCTGTGTAAATGTGTTTGATATTTGCTAACATATTTCCTGATGAAGCTTTCATTAATCCTAGGAAGAGGAACTGCAACATGAGAACCTAATGTTTTGGCAGGGCACATCAGGCTCTTACCTCTAGCAGGAAAGATAACACTATGTTATGGTACATAAATTCCACAAGCAAGGATTCTTATATTTGAAAAGATATCTTATATCTTGTAGGAAGTAACACTCAGCTAAACACAAATAGGCTGATCATGTGCTAAGGCCATCATCAGATAAAACAAGAGGCAGTGGATTAGGGGTGTAGCAAAAGCAGTGGGCACCACCTTAGATGTAGCACACACTGAGATCTTGTCCAAAAGACACTTTCTAATCTGACATTGAAAAGTCATGCCCCGAAAAAGTAGAGAAATTATTTGACAATGGATGCTTTTTATGCTTTGTTCCTTGATTTGTCCAATAGGTGTCATGATTTTATAATTCAATAACATAATTGATGAAATTCATGTTTTATTCCAGGGCAGGATACATTCTTCATTGTTACTCTTGTGATTGCCACAGTTATGAGCGGTAATTTTTGTATTTTTTTTAAATATCTACAAATATTTATTATCTTGTTTCATCAAATAGAAGTTAGTAAGTCTCTTTAAGATATTCTGTTTGTGGTTCCACAGTGATATCCACTTCCTCTCTTCCTTTGCCCTTTGTTTCTCAGAGGAGCTAAATCCCTGGGTAAACTTCTGCCAGACCATTTTAGAATTGTTCAGAGTTGGTTGGTTTTTACAGCTGAAGATTGGTGGGTGGAAAGGGGTGGGGGGGGGGGGGGGGGGTGTTATGGAAGCTAACCACAAGTCCTGCCTCACTTTTATTCACCTATTAGGTCACACCTGGTAGGGGGTTAGGTCACACCTGGTAGGGGGTTAGGTCACACCTGGTAGAGGGTTACGTCACACCTGGTAGAGGGTTACGTCACACCTGGTAGAGGGTTAGGTCACACCTAGTAGGAATTTAGGTCACACCTGGTAGGGGGTTAGGTCACACCTGGTAGAGGGTTAGGTCACACCTGGTAGAGGGTTAGGTCACACCTGGTAGAGGGTTACGTCACACCTGGTAGAGGGTTAGGTCACACCTGGTAGAGGGTTATGTCACACCTGGTAGAGGGCTAGGTCACACCTGGTAGGGGGTTAGGTCACACCTGGTAGAGGGTTAGGTCACACCTGGTAGAGGGTTAGGTCACACCTGGTAGGGGGTTAGGTCACATCTGGTAGGAGGTTAGGTCACACCTGGTAGGGGGTTAGGTCACACCTGGTAGGGGGTTAGGTCACACCTGGTAGGGGGTTAGGTCACACCTGGTAGGGGGACGCAATAAAGTACTTTGCTTCTTTTAGCTTAGTGACCAGTAGTATACATTAATGTACTGTAGTTATTTATTTAGATTGTACCTGATGATTCTTTATATCTGGTATCAGGCGTCTGTAAGTTTTATAATATATAGTGATGGAGTTGAGATGTTCAAATGTAAAAACAGTGGAAGAAATGTAAAAATGTAAAAACAGAGCAAGGAGTTGTTTGAGATGGCAAAGGGTAAAGACTTAGTGTGAGTTGGATGAGGGCTTGTGCAGTATTGGTAGATAAAGGAAAGAAGGATAAAATCTGAAAAAAATACTTCTCAAGAAAATAGATGAGAAAGATACCTTCTGAAGTTATATGATTCTTGTTTTTTTTTTTTTTAGTTCTATAAACTAATTTAATTTGTACATTTGTGAATTGTGAAACCAGCTCATAAAGCCATACAGGCAAAAGTTCTGCTTCGTAAAAATATTTAACAAAAAATATAAAATAAATATTTTCTCTAAATGGTTTCTTTACAAAATAATGACTTTGATTTGATGTTTTATCTCATGTTTTCCACAGGATTACAGTCTGTTTTAACTGGATCAGTGCTGGGTCTATCCACAATATTTCCACCCATGTATTCACAGTCAGCAATGATTGGACAGGTATTTTTGTTCCTCCACACTCACACAGTTTTGTTGCACAGCTTTGTGAAGCCTAAGTACTTCCAGTTTCATCAATAATTTTTTGGGGATTTGCTTTCCTCGGCTTTGACTGCCCTCAGACAAAGTAGCAGGTTTGGGTCCTACTTTGTCCACTTCCACTTCCTTTGTCTGGTTCCTCTTCCTTTGTCTGGTTCCTCTTTTTTTGTCTGGTTCCTCTTCCTTTGTCTGGTTTCCTCTACCACTGGCATAGTTCTTAGGATCATTGAAATGCACAGACTTCTAAACCACTTCATGGTGGAGAAGAGCTGTCACAAACCATAAGAAGCTGGTGATTTGCATCAGGATATTAAACTAATTGTGACTTGGATAAGATGATCTTCATTGCAGTAGGACATGTTTTTGAGTGCTTCAGTCTCCTTCCATAAATTATACAAGTAGGATAAAAGCAAATTTTCTAAACTCTACCGTAAAGACGATCTTCATAATATCAGCTGCAGCAGCACGCATATAATTTTTAACCATTCTCTTGTGAGTAGATTTTCTAGCCGAAATTCAGTCCGTGTCAAACCCACCATATCTACACACTATGCAGTTACATGAATCTTTTTGCTTTGCTGGAAATAAATAATTAGAAATTGTCACGTCAGCCAGCTTCCCCGAAGGGTGAGCTTTATGTTGTAATTGTGACTAGGTTATGTGTGCCATATAAAAAAGCATTGCATTGCATGCCACCAAGAGTCCAGTAAAATGGATGCATATACTGAACTGAGGCCCCGGCTTAAAGTCACAGTCCAAATAGACAAAACAACCAGGACCTTCCGCCGGAGCTTACAGCTGGTCAACAAAGAAGAAGAACCTAAACCCATAATAACCGGAAAAACAGATTTCTCGGGGTGAGAGGGCTAAGGGCAAACACAGAAGAGGAAATTGTATTTGATAATAAAGTAACAGTTGATTAGTGAACAACATTGTCAGAAATAACATGTCAGAAATAACAACATTGTCAGAAATAACATTGTCAGAAATAACAACATTGTCAGAAATAACATTGTCAGAAATAACAACATTGTCAGAAATAACATGTCAGAAATAACAACATTGTCAGAAATAACATTGTCAGAAATAACAACATTGTCAGAAATAACATTGTCAGAAATAACAACATTGTCAGAAATAACAACATTGTCAGAAATAACAACATTGTCAGAAATGAAATGTAATCTGACTTTGATTGACCGCAGGCAGCAGGAGGCACATTCTCCGCTGTGGTGAACATCCTGACACTGGCTGGTGGGGGAGATGCTGTCAGTAGTGCTCTAGTATACTTCCTGATTGCTGCAGTCATCATAGTGCTGTCACTGATTTCTTATGTGTGCTTGCATTTTATGGTAAGAACTTGTGTTCTTTATTACAACTGTATGAAACCAGCCATTATTTCCAAATAATAAGTTGCAACACTTCCTGGTGCTGGTTCTGGGGCAGTGGTTTGGGTGTGGACCACAAAAGAGAATAGGCCTATTGCCCCTAATAAAGCTGTCATGAAACAGGTTTATTTTTTTAATCACTATGGTGGGGGGTGTGGGTTTAAATCCTCCCTTCAGATGCAGGTGAGAAACCAAGACAGTTGTCTTTTGATGCTAAGAGCAGACAGTGTCTCTGGATACTCAGATACAGACTAAATTGGCTCATGAAAGAAAGTGAGCTGCCTGAATATCACCATCAATGGGAAAAGGGAATTTAAATGTCTAGCGAGCACTTACTAAATAAATAACTAGACAGAGCAGATTACTCCTCCTGACAATTTCCCTTTCTGGCCATTAAATTATGCCCCTTTGGGAAATCATGAGGAATATGGGCTTTCCATCACATATAGTGCAGCTCATTAAAATGCTCTATCAAGATCAGCAAGCAGCAGTCAGAATAGATGGAGAGACATCAGACTGGTTTGGCATCAAGCAAGGAGTCCGTCAGGGATGTGTGCTGTCACCGTATTTGTTCAATCTGTACGCCGAAAATATAATGAGAAATGTAAGAGATGATATAAACAAGGAACAATATGATGCCCTAAACATCGGTGGTCATGAAATACCAGAAATTTCGTTATGCTGATGATACAGTATTACTATCAACATCACAAAGTGGTTTAGAAAACTTATTAACCTCACTCCAAAGAAATAGTGAAAATCATAACTTATTTCTTAACATAGCAAAAACAAAGATAATGCATACAAACAAAACTGCAATGGAGAAGGAAATATATGTTAATAAGGAAAGATTGGAAGTGGTGGAAAATTTTTGAATATCTTGGGTCACTGGTTACCAAACAATGGTGACACAATAGAAATTAAACGACGACTATCAATTGCTCTTCAAAGACTAAAACAACTGAATAAATTATGGAATTGTACAGATAGAATTACAAAGGTCAGATTTTTAAGAGCATACATCTTTCCCATTGCAACATACGCCTGTGAGACCTGGACACTTACTAAACAAGCGGAACAGCGCACAAATGCATTTGAATATAAATGTTACAGACAGGTTCTAAGAATATCTTGGGTAAAGAAAAGAACAAATGCATCCATACTTCAAGAGCTGAATATTGAAGAGGGTTGGCAAGTAAAGACAATAAAACAAAGAAAATTGAAATATTTTGGTCACTTGAAACGTCATGGAAGTCTAGAGAGAACAATAATGGAGGGGTATATGCCTGGGAAGAGAGGAAGAGGAAGGCCAAGGAGAAGATGGGTGCAGGATGTGGCAGATGATCTCCAGATGGGTGTATCAGACGCAGGACATCTTGCTCATGATAGGAAGGTTTTCCTGGAGGGTTGTTATGGCAGCGAGGTTCCGCGAGGGACATGCTACTGAATGAATGAATGAATGAAATTATGCCCCCATCTAGAAGGGTATATTGATGGTCAGTACTAAACTGACACCATACACACACATCTGGAAATACAATTAAACTTCATCAATGAATATAAATCAATCATAGATATGTTTATTGATATAGTAAATATCAGTACTTTAGTACTTTTGAAATACAGTGCTCAAACTAAATAGATATGAGAGAAAAAAATGATGGTCATATGAAACTGTCGTCGTGAGAGGGTTAATGAGAATTAACACACAACAATGACCCCCATAGGATCTTCATCCAGAATTAATGTTGAAAGTTAGAACTGTATTAAATACCAATCACTGCCTCAGGGCAATTCAGTCATCAACTAATACCAGCCTGGCAGTGGTCTGGAAGCTGATCCTTCCACAAGGAACAAGGAATCTGTCCTTGCCTTTTCAGCAGCTAGGGGTGGAAACAAACAAGGAATCTGTCCATAACTTTTCAGCAGCTAGGGATGGAAACAAACAAGGAATCTGTCCATAACTTTTCAGCAGCTAGGGGTGGAAACAAACAAGGAATCTGTCCATAACTTTTCAGCAGCTAGGGGTGGAAACAAACAAGGAATCTGTCCATAACTTTTCAGCAGCTAGGGGTGGAAACAATTTAGATGTATAGTCCATAATTCGCTGCAGAATAAAATATATATTCCCAACTCTCCCCTCTCTCTTTATGTTGTCAGAAATGAGACAATGGTCTGGTAGCATGGTCATTTACATAGCTTCCACTTCGGACTACTGTCCGGTCCAAATGAATGGTCTTCCATCTTCTGTCCCTCATGATGATAGGATAAAACTGCATATTTCCTCAAGCTTGGACAACAATATGCAGTTATAAGTGCAACAAAAAATCAGACAGAATGCTGTAGAATTATCTCTATAAATATTGAGGATTCTAGAAAAACGTGGCAGCCTTTCCTATCTTCCAGACCTTCCATTGTGTGGTCAGTTTCTGGTTGTAACCAGCTTTTGTGGTGCTGACAAAACCGCTTCTCAATGTGCAGTTTTCTTAGACATCAACACCAACATTACAGCATTTATTAAGGCTGTTCACAAGTAAAATAATCATGAGGATCTATCTGAAAATAAAAACCACTATTTACTAAAACACAAGTAAACTTGAATTCTAGAAACAGGAACCTGTGAAGATAAAGTCTGCAATGAAATGTTACCAATGGGTACACAAATCATGATCAGCAGCCATAGATCATTTATGTACTAGCAATAGAAGATGGAGAATATCCTAAGAGTCCTAGATACATTAACTAGAAATATTCTCATAGATAGAGAACAATGGGAATTAGGGATAGCATCTCAAAGATTTCAAATTTAAGACAGGCCTGCGAGCCTAATCTGGGACCCTTTGAATACAAAGTTCATTCGTTCGTTTGTTCTAGTTTTCTGACCCCACGTGTCAGCAGCTGAAACGAATCCTTGTGGTAAAATGGTAAATTCTAAGATCGTACGTGAAATACGGTTCCAAAAAGGAAATCGCGATGTATTTAATAATTTTTGTGCTCTCCTGGATGTAGATGTAAGACTGCATGGTGCGTTCGGCCATACTGCTAGGTTTTTAGGCTGCTGGAAAGACAGAATCAAAGTTGTCTTTAAAAAATGCATTCACTTGTCCATTCTCCTTTAGGATGGTAAGTGAAAGTTGATAATCCGTGTACCACCTGATCTCAAATGGTAGCCAGGTTTTTGCCACATAGTTGCTGGTAGTAATTCCATACGTGAAAGCAATGGCTCTGACGTACCAGGAAATTACAAACTAGCTAAACTCAGAATTTCTGAAACAGCACCCACATAAACGTAGAGATATCCCTCTAACCCCCCCAGGACTGAACAACAAGGAATAAACACCTGGTGACACAAAATGCCAACATTTGAATGAGAATCACCCAGTTACAAGTCACAGAAATCCAGGTCAACTGTTAGGTTATATTAGGGCCCCCATCTGTCCTCTGTGTGGGTTCTGGGGCCCTATTATAGGGAAAACAAGAATAGATCCACTGTCTACCCAAAAGCATGTCATAAGAGACAACTGATTGGGGGCTTTCTTCAAAGTGGGTGCATCTGCCTGAGAGGCAAGGAACTAACAGTCTGCACACAAATGTGTCAGATCTGTCAATTGGATGCACACGCAACACTCAGGTTCTGGAACAGGACTGCAGTCCAGAAGTGGACGAACAGCTAGAACTTTTCACCAGAGTTTACAGCTGGTGAAATGCAAAAAATAAAGAAGAATTAGGGCCCCCGACGACAGCCGGGTGGGGCTTTAAAATAAAAAAAAATTACGTCCCATATTGAGACAATCTCGTCCATGCAAGCGAAGCAGTATCTGAGGCCATGAATACCAGCACCTATGTAGCACACACTCAGGCTCACATTAGATGCCTTTTCAAAACCTGATGATAAAGGTGATACCGTGTCTTGAGAATAGAAGGGAGAAGAAGTGATTATATTGGGAAAAAAAAAAAAAAACCTTAGCCATAAGCTGGAACAGCACACAGTGACTGTTGGACAAGTGACCCATGTAAGCTTTTTATCAGCAAGTGCTTCTTCCTCTTTCAAAAAAAGAAAAAAAATTTATGTTTCATGGTTGTTTAAAAAAAAAAATAGGCAGTGGTTCCTGAACTTGAGAGGTATTCTCGGTCCAGACAACTTGGTTACAGAGTCAGTAAATAAGAAAGGTCAGGAAAAAATGTGTAAGAAATGATTCATCTTCAGGGGTGAATCCACAGAGAATGTCCAATATTCAGTATTATTTACATGTCTTTTGTCTTGATTCTTCATTCCCAAGTGCAACACTTTTCAACTGCCCCTTTAATACAAGTTTTAAAAAGCAAAATATTTTCCTTCTGGTATTGCTGTCCGAAAGAATGACACCCAGTGACTCAGAGAGTCACTATTCAGATGAGATGAAAATCTAAGAGGAGAAATTCCAGCACCTGTTCAGCTGCATACAATTATTATTTTGGCACAACCTACAGTTATGAAGCAACAAGCTGCCCAAAGTGGTTGGGTTTTGAGTGATACTATATTCATTATAATGAGTTTAATTGTGATTTTTTTCTTCTGTTGAACAGTATAGACATGTTATTCTTCTGTCCTAATTCAAAATTGTTTCGCATAACCTGATATGTTTATCTATTCTCAGGATTTTTCAAGATTTTATATGGTGACTCAGGGTAAGTAGAATGTTTTTAGCTAAGAACTGAAAGCTGTTCTTCCTGTCCAAAATATAGGATTAGGCTTGCAGAATGTTTAGCCTCAAAGTTTTTTTTGCTTTCGACAGTGCTTTGCTAATGCAGTTTCCACATATTGACGGAAGTCTACAGTTTTGCTGCCTAAGCTACTGAGTTTAGTGCTTGGTGCAGCCCTGTGATCTATGTTTTTTATGTGGAATGCCTTTCATTTGTGCACTGATTGTGTTGTGTGTGGTACAGTATGGCCTATAGTCGGTTCACATGTGAGCTGGTGAAATACCTTTTGTATAATTATACATGTTTATAACAAACTTATCGTACCCGACTACTTCCTTGAATGACAAACTGCATTTCTTGTGGCATCAGTTGGCTTTGGTGCCTATAGCAACTGCCACACGCATTTACTGCGTTCGCATATTTCTGGACTGTGCCGGGACAATTGTTTGTTTCTCAGTTTTTCAAATGGGACAGTGAGGAACATTTCATTTCATTTTCACTGGCATAGAAACGGAGCAAACATGGGGTTACCCGATTGCAGTGAAGTTTAAACTTCTACTAAGACTAAAATAAAGCAGTTCTTCTTTGACAGTTAGTCAAAGACATGATCTTTAGTACAGACTACAGGAGAAGATGCCGGAGAAACATATAGCAGACAAGTGATTAGTGATTAGTCTGGGCTATCATCACAGTACCCCAGACAGCTCTGTGGGTGACTGGTCTCTTCCTGAATAGATTCACAAGCTTCAAAGGACTGATTATGCCCATTCTTTGTTGATTAACCAGAAATTTTGTGTCCTCCGTGAAGTCTTCATGTCTGATAGCTCCAAGTTATATCCTCAATATCCACGGCTTGCACCCAGTACCTCTTCAAAACCTGACAAGAAAGACAGAACAAGACTAGAGGAGGAGGATAATATTAATAATAAGAAGATTAATCTACCTGGAAAGGTGATATGGTCATGAGCAGACAAGTAAATTGTTCAGGCAGTTAGCCACATTAAAAGACTTAGTTATTTGTCTTTGGTAATGTGTCTATGTTAAGACATGGTTTGTGGACTCCAAGTAACAAGTTAGTGTTGTTAACTAAAGACAGGAAGTACTGAGACCAGTATTCCAAGAGAAGAAAAGTTTGATAGATCTGACTTATTTATATACAGACTGTTGGTTCCTCGCCTGTCAGGCAGATGCACTCAAAATTCAAAGGAAATATCCTGTTAGTGGCCTCATACAACATGCTTGTTAGGGTGGAAGTGTCTATCCTCACCCCCCACAGCCCTGACTAGAGAGTGGGATTCTAGAACCAACACAGGTTATATAATGTTTTGAAAACAAATTCCAGTAAGTCAAAAATGTTGAATGAAGAATCGCCATCACAGCACTCGGGACACTTCCATAAGTTCTCAGTCCCCATCTTCAGCAGCAAGCAAAGAGTTCCTATTTCAATGCTACCAATAACCGTCTGATTGTATATCCGTCTCATCCTTCTCCTGTGTGTTGAGCGTCACCCAGATCCCCTGGTAACTCCTCGCAGCGCCATTCTCCTTAGACCGTCATGAGCTATCTGCGCCCCCGCACTGTTCACTTGCTCCCAAAGGACCCTCAGTGCGACTAGAGATAGGGGAAAACACTGGCATTGTATAGGATACACATTGAGAGACATTGCTAAAATATATAACTAGAGAGTTTCATCAGGCAATATCTTGGCCTCAGCACCCATTGAATAGAGGCAGACGTTTTTCAGAACTGACCATGGCTCCCAGGTCGACCCAGATTAAAATGGTAACTGTCCCAGATAATGTCCTGGGAAGTAAGGCTGGCTGGTTTGACATTGACCTCATGCTGACTGGTCTATAAATTACAGGTCTAGCATTATATACCCATTGCGCCAAAGGTGCCAGAAGGGTTGTCTATTTTAGTGACTTACCTACTCTTCTTCTTCTCCTTCTCCTCCTTCTTCTTCTTCTTCTTTGTTTTCTTCTTTTTCTTCTTTTTTTTTTAACTGCTACTTCTTCTACTTCTTCTTCTTTTTCTTCTTCTTCTTCTTCTTCTTCTTTTTCTTCTTCTTCTTTCTTCTTCTGCTTCTTCTTATTTTTCTTCCTCTTTCTCTTCTTCTTCTTCTTCTTCTTCTTCTTCTTCTTCTTCTTCTTCTTCTTCTTCTTCTTCTTCTTCTTCTTCTTCTTCTTCTTCTTCTTCTTCTTCTTCTTCTTCTTCTTCTTCTTCTTCTTCTTCTTCTTCTTCTTCTTCTTCTTCTTCTTCTTCTTCTTCTTCTTCTTCTTCTTCTTCTTCTTCTTCTTCTTCTTCTGCTGCTTCTTCTTCCTCTTCTTCTTCCTCCTCCTCCTCTTCTTCCTCTTCTTCCTCTTCTTCCTCTTCTTCCTCCTCTTCCTCTTATTCTTCTTTCACTTCTCAAGTTGAGTTTTGCCTGCACATCCATTCTACAGATCTGGCTTATTTGTAAGCAGAAATTTGATCACTTGCCTCTCAGGCAGATACACCCTGACTTCAAAGGAAACATCCCTAATTAGTGACCTTGTGTGACTTGCTTGTTAGGAGAGCTGTGGTTCTATATCCCCCCCCCCCCCCCCCAGTTAGGTGCTGGGACCTATACTGGGACTCTTACATATTGAATAATTATCAGTCAACAAATTAGGGCTAGCACCATTTACCCAGTATGTCTCATGGTGTAAAAATGTTTTCTGTACTTGTGTTTACCAATGCATTCACACAATAACTTCTAATTTGTCATTTGTCTCTCTCTCTCTCTTTTTATTTGATACAGGAAGCAGTGTACAAGAAATAAATGAAGATATCTCTTTAAATCTAAATGGTGTGAATAAAGTAGAATATTTTGTCTCAATTATTAAAAAGGTAAGCATTTTAAACCGCAAAATAAGGTGTAGATAAATGTACATTATAAAAGTTGAGTGGGGTCTGTGATCATCATCGTGTGCCATGTTAAGTATAGGTGGTTGTAATTTACCATTTTACACATTCAGCGGAATCACATATCAAATCTGTTTTTGCTGTCACTATCGTAGGAGTGGCTATTTCTTTTTAAAATATTTTTGCTTTTTGTCCATCAGTTTTACAAATTGTGACTAAGTTTGTTTATCATCATGTCCCCATGATGTTTATTTTTCATAATCTCCCTAAATTGTTGACTGTCTATGTCTAATTTCTCTCATCATCATCACCATCATGTGCCCTGCCAACTGGCATAGGCACTCATGCGTCTCCACAGATCACGATCCCTGGTTGCCTGGAACAGCTCTCTATGCCATCATTTCAGCCCACCTAGCAACTCTCTTGGTCTGCCTCTACCCCCTTTTCCACTGATCTTTCCAGTTGTCACAAGGTTTTCTAATGTTTTGAACAGTGTTTGTCTCTTTCTTTTTGTTGTATATAGAGTTCTACTGTCATTAGCTTTTTTCAAACAATCGTTGTTAGTTACTTTGGCCGTCCAAGGTATTTGTAACATTCATCTCAGAAACCACAACCACATTCTCTTATCATTTTATAATTTTCATCTGTTTCTTAGAGGAATACCTCATTCTTGTAATTTTTATCCGTGGTATTCTTTTCATTTTTCTCGTAAACCAAATTTGTATTAAAAAGTAAAGTAAAGATCCCTTTCACGCCTTTAGGCGTATCGGGCATATGGGAAGAGCGTACATATTTTTACAGACCATCAGCACTCGGTGGGTAATGTGGTCAGCATTACTCCGGCTGTCTTTACTTTCCCAGGACAGCCCATCCTGGTACCAATTTGAGGCTGGGTCGACCTGCGACGTCCCATATCACGATAAAAATCCACGCAGCCTGCAGTGGGTTTCGATCGCGGTACGTTGGATTACGAGTCGGACTCGCAACGCCTTATCCACCGACGCCGCCAAATTTGTATTGCCATTAGGTATTTTTCAGCTTATTTGCTTTTTGTTTGTGATGATGAAGAGTGTGACTAGCAAGACCTCACTTTCGGTCTTCCACAATAAGTGCATGGAATTTTCTGGACCATTGTTGCCAATGTCTGTATTTAGCAGCATGCTTCTTCTGAGAGGTTCAGCTCTTAACCTGCCTGAAATCATTTTCTACTATGTTCTTGTTCCATTCCTGATCTTCCCCATTCATGTAACTAGTCTATGACATCCTGCTGCCATGAATCCACCTCAATACCTGTATCATTTATGTTCCATTTGCTCACATCTTTATATTGCAGAAGTAGGCCACCCCTCACTATCTTCTATTCATCTGCAGTTCACCTTACAGGATATTCTTAGGGATTCTATCATGTTCCATCCTCCTAGTTTGTTCTAGCCATCTGAGCCTTAGAAAACTGAGCGCTGAGAAAGTTGAGCACTGAGAAAACTGAAGTCCTGATAAGTATCTGTCCAATATTTACAGTAACTATGCTTCCTGTTTGTTTATATTCTCTAAGGAACTTTTGACTGTAAAATGATTGTGTACTCTTGTTTCAGGTATGGATGTACAGTATAAGCGTCTGCCTAGTGTTTACAGTGACTCTGTCAGTGTTCCCTGCCATCTGTTCTCTCATTAAATCAAGCAGTGATGACAGTAATGCATGGACAAGTCAGTACTTTTACAGTTTTGTGCAACAAAGTTTTCCTAAGAAACAGCTATTTAATGTCTGTCTTCTTGCAAATTGTATTGTTTGATTAGTTTGAATTATAACATGTTAGCAACAGCAATGCTGTTACTAGCACTCTTGCCTGCTAGTCCAGTAGTCATATGTTCAGAGTTGAGTTGAGTTGATTTAAGAACCAACATCACAGCGCTCGGGGCATTCCCATAAGTGCTCTGTCCCCATTTTCAGCAGCCAGCGTAGAGTTTCCATGCTAATGGTACCAGTTCTCACCAGCTGTACCAGTAGCATTCTGAATAAACGTCTGTCTTGCCTTTCCTCTGAGCCTCGAGCATCTGCCAGAACCCCTTGTTACTCCCCACTGCATCATCTCACCAGACTGTAGTGATCCATCTGCTCCTCTGAACTGTACATGCTCTCCCACAACGCACTAACCACATCTGCCTTATCATGCATCAGTATTCCACCAAGTTGTGAAGAGCCAGCCAGTCTGTCCGCCTGTTCATTTCTCAACACACCATGGGTTCAAATACAATGAGGTAGAATTTTTAGCTCCCAGGTTTACCCAGCCTGCAATAGGTAATAGGAAATTCCCAGGAAAGTAAAAGGCAACCAGCATGATGCCTGCCAACTGATCCATAAAAATGTGGGGCTGGTGTGCCTTAAGATGTGAAAAGGGTTCTGTAGGCAACCCTCAGTCCCTGGGGATCATGTGGCCAGGCCACTAGTTTTAGAAACAGCGTCTGCTGGGATCAAAGTCCAGTGTGGGAGTGGCAGTCTCTGCCACATAGTCTACATAAAAACGTTGATACTCTATCATTCTGAGGCTGGTTTTCTCTCAGGCATCTTTTCTCTGTAGCTTGCTGAGTTATGTTGTGAGCACATATGCAAACATGCCTGAAAGATATCTACATTGACACAGGTACTTGGATGAGATCAACTGCAGATCAGCTCCTTTGGAGGCAGACATTGAAAGACAAACCGTCACAGTTTGAAAGAGGTCACATGCTAACTATTTACTGACAGAATTTATGCTGTAAAATATGGGCTAAGAAAATCATCCTTCCTATTAAATAGCAGGTATGCCCACAGATATGGCAAACTTTGAAAACTGCACAGTCCATGAATTACAGAATACCATAAGACAGGTACAATCAAGAAACATCCCTGGGCCAGATAGAGGAGAAAGCTACATCAGCTGTGGAAAAGCGGCATCACCAGGCCCATCCTGTGGGGGAAAAACCAACAACTCAGGAATGATCTAAAAAGCCTTACATCAGTTTGATTAATATCTACTTTTAATAATATCTAACATCTAGACATTTTTAGGTAGAATGCTTAACGATAGTCTTTACTGCAGGCAGATAAACATTTCTCAGGCACAGCTGCTAATTAGACATTGCTCTTGCTTGCCAAGACATTGGGTGTGGGTTTAACCCCTAGGGGTAGCCGGATTTCTTTTTCACCCTGACCAGTCTCACAGTGAAGTTGATCCAGCTTCATAAAAGCATGTCCCAGTCAAGGCATATAATTTTTTAGAAGAGAGGGATAGTGATGAAGGGAACAGGCTACTGCACCTTGTAAATTGTGGCTTAGAACCACGTAACGGCCTAACATTCCACAATCCTGCTTGTGTGGGTTCTGTGATCCTATTTAGGGTAAAAATAATAGACACACTGCCCCCTAACAAGCATGCACAATGTGACTAATTACGGATATTTCCTTTGAAAGTCAGTGCATCTGCCTGAGAGGCAAAGAACCAATAGTCTGCATAAGAATAGGCCAGATGTACAAAATGGCTATACATTCAGAACTGAAGTTCTGGAGCAGGACTAAAGCCCAGAAGTGGACCAATGGTTAAGACTTTCTGCCAGAGTTTACAGCTGATGAACACTAAGAAGAAGGAGACCCCATACTCCAGGGGCATTAGCTGCTATAGGACTAGCTGTACTTTACAACAGCACACTTGCTGGTGTCCTCTTTGGATGTAGAACCGAAGACCTCACTTTTTCATCTTATGTAGACTGTACATGACAGAAGTGAATTGAGGAAAACGCTCAGTTGTGATCTCGTTGAATTTGAACAGGCATATGAGAAAATATGCAGAAAGTGCCCAAAGTTTGTATAATCATTTATGTTTGTTTTTTGAATGTGCATAGAGCTGGATTTTTTTTCTTCCAGAAATGACTTTAGCTTCCAGGTTGACCCAGCCCTAAATGGATGCTAGGTAAAATCCAGGGAAGTTGGGAAGTAAAAGTGGCTAGGGGTGTTGAACACATCACCCATGTAGGGCTGATTGGTCTATGCAAATAGTAGTTTAGCCTCGTTTGCCCAATGTACCACTGGCATGTAAGGGACTGTTACTTTACTTATATATTTGTTTTGTAAACATTTAGGAACATACTTCACTCCAGTGGTGTGTTTTCTGCTGTTTAATGTTGGGGATTTCATTGGAAGGCTGAGCACATTTATTGTGAAATATGTAAGTATTCTGTCTTTGAGTCTGTTGTAGATGTTAAAATATAAAGACATGCTTGATAGATAGCATTCATTAACAAATAAAGTGATTTGCCTGCTTAGAGAAAATGCTTTGTGATGTCATTCCTTGCAAGGCATTAACCAGACGAGGAGAGGAGTGTAAAGTCTGAGGTAGACCAAGAACAACATACAAAGATAACCTCAGAGAAAATCAGCAACATAATAATCTCACATTACATCATTTTGCCTCTCATGGCCATCAACAAAACTGTGTTTATCATGTCAAAAGGAAAGAGCAGTTACTCTGTTTGTATTCAGTGATTAATTCCTTTACTGAAATTTTTTATTGTTTTATATTTTTTGTATGGAAGATTTTAAAAAGGAATATGGATTCTTTCAGTTATTTGACGGACACAATGTAGATGCGGACTTCACACTTGCCTGTCAGCTACGTGGCCTTGGATTTTCACTCCCCTTATGTTTATAGAAGCTGTTGCTGAAGACTCTAGATTTCTTCTGCTTCATCTTCTCTTCCTCTAGTTTCTCAGGCAGTTTCAGAGAATTATTAGGATGAGTTTCTGTTTAATGAAATTTTGTTTAAAGATTTTTACTCAGTGTAAGGGTTAACTTATCTGCTGTAATTTGTCTCTTTTGTTCCTATTTTTTCTTGATTTACTGCTCCGCAGTCTATAGCTAATAAAGTAAATGTTTCATTTGATGTCTCCAACAAAGTCAAGTAAAATCATTTTTTCTTCTTTTTTTTCCTCAGCCAGGAAGTCATAGACCAGCCCTGCTGCTGTTTTTCTGTGTACTGCGTATTGGATTTATTCCGTTACTTATGCTGTGCAATGTCCAACCACGACATTTGACCTTTGTTCTGGACAACGATGCATATCCTATTGTGCTTATTACCTTATTGGGCCTGACCAATGGTTACCTGGGAACTTTATGCATGTCGTTTGGACCAATGTAAGTTGAATGTGAATTGTATGCAAAGTAACAAATATATTAGTCAGCGATCAGATTTTTTTCAAGTTCCCCTTCCCTATTAGCATTCTTTAGTATTAACATCTCAGAGATGAAAACAGCACAAAATCCCCCAAAACCCCATCCAGTTATATTGGGGAATCACAGAACCGTTATGAAGTAATCTTTGGTCCAGAGTTTGGTGAGGGGGGGTTAATGAGTGATGATAGTCAGGTGCCATCTCAAAGTTGGCTAAAGTGAATCTCAACACAGTTTTATCTCTGGTTGTACACTGTCTTAGATTGATGTTTATACAGCTCGTGATTCATCCTCTTACTTGTAATACTGTTTACCTCTTGATTGCCTGCTATCCTCTTTCCCTCAAGTATGGTTTAAATAAAAGTTCTGTCTTTTAGTGTGGTCAGAAGAGTTCACTTGTGTCTTTCTTATCTCTTGCACAAATCTTGAATTTTTATTAAAATACAATAAAATAATATCGAAGATGACCAAGATTAAGAGCAGGATGGGCAAAGCAAAAGCTGAATTTTAGAATGTAACAAGTATTTTATGGAATTAGTCACAATCACTAAATGGTATAGGAGATCAGGATCAGAAGAGACAATATTAGGAAACAGCTGGGAAATGAGAGCAGTGCCAATGTACAATTGCAAGTCCCTCTGCTGTAGCATCATTGTATGAATTCTTATTTTAATTTGCAGCTTTTACTTGGTTATTGAGCTTGTGTCTATTAATCACCTTTCTACAAACTAGAATAGTTCTTTCCTCACTGTTAGAATTATTTTTATTCAATTTCCTTTTACTGTGCAATGTTTTTCAGTGGTGTACGTGATGAGCATCTGGAAGGAGCCGGGATGATGTTGGCACTGGCAATGACTATAGGATTAGCTGCAGGCTCAGGCTTGTCTATGTTGTTTGTCAAAATTGTCTAGAGTCAACAGTTTCTTGACAGCTCAAAAACACCACCTTGACTGTTAAAGAATCAACAATTTCTTGATTGGTAAAGAATCCTAAATGTCTTGGCTGGGATAGAGTCAACAGTTTCTTGGCTGGGATAGAGTCAACAGTTTCTTGGCTGGGATAGAGTCAACAGTTTCTTGGCTGGGATAGAGTCAACAGTTTCTTGGCTGGGATAGAGTCAACAGTTTCTTGGCTGGTAAAATGTATAATTTTTTATTTGATGGAAAAGAATCACCTGTGTCTTGGCTAGGAAAGAATAAATAGTTTTGACTGGGAAAGGATCCTCAGTTACTTGGCTGGGAAAAAGTCACCAGTTTCTTTGCTACTAAAGAATCAATAGTTTTGACTGGGAAAGGATACTCAGTTACTTGACTGGGAAAGGATCCTCAGTTACTTGACTGGGATAGGATCCACAGTTACTTGACTGGGGAAGAATCATCATATTCTTGACTGGTAAAGAGTCGCCAGTTTCTTTGCTGCTAAAGAAGCAACATATTCTTGGCATCTGTTTTTTGGCTAGTGAAGAATTATCAGTTTTCGGCTGGTGTAGGGAATCAGCCTGTAAAGAAAAACATTTTCTAAGCTGGTAAAGATTAATTGATTCCTTTACTAAGAAAGAATCAACAGTTTTGGTTGGTAAAGAATCACCCGTTTTTTGGGCTGATGTGAAGAGTAGATTTCTTGGCTGAAGAAACAAAAACAGCAAACCCCTTGGCTGGGAAAGAATCAATGATTCCTTGAGTGGGAAAGTTCGTAAGGGTGGTCTTTTATTTTAATGGATAACAAACAAAATTGTCTGTCAAATGGCAGCTTTACAGATTCATTCCATTCTTTTTGCCAAGGGTCTATTGTGTATTTCACTATTGTTTCTTTGTTTCAAGTTTCTTTGTATCATCAAAGTATAACAATCATTGTTACTGTTTTGTACTTTTCTTTATGATTTCAAAGGGAAGAAATTATTGTGACTGTTCCCAACCCCCCTTCCGGAGGCGCAATTTTTTTAATGATTTGAAAGTACAGAAATTATTATTACTGTTTTTCACCCAAATTTTGTATGATTTCAAAGTACATAAATAATTGTAACTGTCCCCCACCCCCCTCCCCAACCCCCACATATTATTATTATTTCAAAATGCAGAAGTCAATTGTAACTGTTCTCCCCCCCCCCCCCCCCCCCCCACAACTCATTCCCCCCCCACCACACACATTTTTAATGATCTCAAGGTACATAAATCTTTGTAACTTTTCCTCCCATTATGATTGCCAAGTACAGACATCGTTGTAACTGGTGCCCCCCACCCCCCCCCTGCTCCCCAATTGTTTTTGATTTCAAAGTGCAGAAATCATCATAACTGTTTTTCCACTTTTCTGTATGATTTCAAAGTAATAGAAGTTTTTTTTTATTTTTTCTTCAGATTTCTGTGTGGAAAATTGAATATTAATAATTGTTACTCCTTTGTTATTTAATGAAATATCAAGTGATTTAATAAGTAATTTGAAATTTTAGTGTTATTGTTTGTAACTAATAATTCCTGCAAGCTTCTGACATGTTGAAGTTTCCAATTTTATAGCATTCATAATAGAGAGAGAATAACTAAAAATGTTTCTAATAAACTGCAAAACAATTATTAGCCTGTGCTATCACAGTGTAAAGGTAATTAAATGGCATGGCAGAAACACTGATAAGGAGCTTCGGTGGAGAACTAAACAAATTGCAGTGAATCAGGAGCTGAGGAAAATAGGCTGGCATTAGATAGAGCCCAAATTGAGAACATCTGATTTGACAATATAACTAGAATATCTAAAGACAGACCTAAAATACAGAGACCGAATTAGAGAGTGAAATGAAAAAAGATGGGGAGGACATGGAGTGAGCTCTATATGAATGCAGAGATAGAAGGGTTTGGCGCAAATTAATTTAAGGTCTGTGCTCCACTGGGGTGACAAAAAAGTATTCCTTAGTTTAAAAAAAAACCAGTTTAATAAAATATATGTTTGACCTACAAATGAAGAAATCAGTTTCACAGAAATGAAACGGAGAAATAAGTCCAACAACCAACTCCTCATCTGTCAGCAGGTTCTAAAAATATCGCTGTCATCATGGCACGCCCAAAAGTCTCTCTGTCTAGCCAATTCTCCAGCCCTGTGTGCTTTTAAAGCCAATGCTTCTTCAGTGTCATCTGTCCACAGTCACAGAGGGTCTGCCTCTACCTCATATCTGGGAACTGTCTCCTCCACCACTGCTCTCTCCAGGCCACCATGTTGTATAACGTGGCCAAACTAGCTCAGCTTTCAGGACAGGATGCTGTTTATGAGCCAATTCTTCTTGATGCTCAGATCATGTAGGATGTCTGTGTTTTTCATCTTCTAGGTCCATGGTAAGAATGTTCTGTAGCATTTCAGTTCAAAAGCTTCAATTTGTTTCTTAAGTGATTTTGAGTAAGAGTATGACTCACATCCTTAAGTTGCCACAGGAAAAATGCATTATCTGAACGAACCAGCTGTTACACTTCTGTAGCAGGTATCATCTTTGCCTTATCTTGTCTAACTACTGCATACCGAAGAAAATAATTTAGGTTATCATCTAGTTTGCACCTTGCTATTTGAAAAATAATTTTTCATCTGCTGTTTATTCCTATTTGGGGCGTAGGTCCTGAACCAGCTCACGTCAAGCCATCCTGGTTTTCCTTGCAGCTCTTGGCTTCCAGCTAAAAGGAAATTCTACTTTTCTTTCATCAGATTGTCTAAATGTGTCCCCTATCCAGGGCCAGCATTTTTTCTGCAGCTCCTAGTTCTCTAGAATTGGCTTAGTTCTCTCCTTAACCCCTGCCTTAGTGGTTATTTCATACAGTTTTAATCCTTTTGTTCTGTGCAGACACGAGCTCATGAATGTCTTTAGTCTCTCAGTAATTGTTTTAGTTGTTCTCTGAAATCATTGTAGGAAATTGGAGTTCTCTCCACTTTTGTGCTGTGTGTCACTGACTGTTGAGATCCGCAGTTGTTATCAGCGTATGAGAATTCTAAACAATATGAGGAAAGAATTTAAATAACGATTTGACTGTTTGTGGTCTTATTTAATTTCCATTCATTCACAGAATAAAAAAAAAAAAAAAAAAGCCTGCTTTTGTCTCAGTTTTCCCTGTTTGGATTCCAGGGCCCCATCGTGGGGAATCAAGAAAAGACCCACTGCCTCCTTAACAAGCATGTCATAGGAGTCGACAAATTGGGGGCTTCCTTCAAAGTCAAAGTGCACCTGCCTGAGCGGCAAGTAACAACCAACTGCACACATGTAAGCCAGTAAAACTGATGTACACACAAAACTCAGCCCTGATGCAAAGCTAGTGTCCAAATGGATAAACAACCAGGACTTTCCCCCGGAGCTTAAGCCAGTGAATGAAGAAGACGGTCTCTCAGTTTGCTGAATCATTAGTCGTGTTTATACATTTAAAGAAAAAGGTCTCTACTTTAAAAAAGCAAAAGTGTTTAAATTAAATATTTTTCATCATTACTCTGGTATCCCCCCCCCCCTTCCCCATGGGGCAGTCCCTCTGAGCACTACGACTGATCACCCACTGAAAGTGTTGCATAAAGCATGCATTTTCTGTACCACCCTCAAGGATTTTTGAAAACACCTGCACTTGCAAACTTAACCTTGGAGTCTGAAACTTAACCTACAACCTTCATAGTGCAGGCAGATGGCTTAACCACATTGCCATATGTTGAATGTTGAGTTAAGAATCGACATCACAGCATTTGGGACACCCCCATAAGTGCTCCATCCCCAACTTCAGCAGCAAGTGAAAAGTTAAAATTCTGATGGTACCAGTAACTGTCTGATTCTATATCCATCTCGCCTTTCCCCTGAGTGTCGAGCATCTGCCAGATCCCCTCTGCCAGATCCCCTTGTAACTCCTTGCGGTGCCATTCTCCTCAGACCGTAATGATCTATCTGTGCCTGGGCACTGTTCACTCGCTCCCAAAGGGCCCTCACAACATCCAGCTTGTCATACATCAGTTCACCACCAAGTGGTGCAGAACCTGGCCAGTCTATCTGTCTGCTCATTTCCCAACACACCGGCATGACCTGGAGAAAATATCAAAATGATGCTAACTACCAGGGACCTTTGAAGTGATGCTTGCCACTCTGCACAGAGCATGCCTGTCTCCACCTTACACAACACAATGCCATAGAGACCACATACTTTCATTGAATGATGAGAACAAGTTTTCATGTTAACAAGAAATAATTCATTAGGCCAGTCAATGCTTTTGTCCTTTTGTGCCATATATAAGCTGTACATAATTAATCTGTCTGTATTTTCTTCATGTCATTAACACAGAGGGCATTGACCAGCAGTCTATGTTGTTGTTGGTCCTTTTTTTTTTTTTTTATCGATCACTGCTGTGAATTCCAGTGGAAGGTCCCGGTTAATCGTCCGCTTACACCTCCTGTACAACCGTTTTTCATTTCCTGTCATGGGCTACTCCGACTTCGAAGGAAGACTCAGGCCTATTTCATGTTGACTTGGCCATTGTTTTGTGTGGGTCGAGACGTTGCCTGATTTAGTGTGGTGTCCACTTTGTCTCCTTCGCCGGCAGGTATTGCCATAGTACCCCTTGGGGCAGCCCCCTGTGGAGCAGTTAGCCCTCAAGGGAGGCAGGGGCAGATCATGGGCATTCCCCGCCATCCAAGTAGGCTTCCATGCATGCAGAGCCGGCACATGGCACTCTGGTTCTGGGCTCACCCCAGGAATCGTTCCTGCACATGCCTGCTTAACCTCACAACTGTATGGCCTCCCGCTCGACAGGGCTGCGCCCTCTGGAAGTCAGCGGGGAGCAGCCCGTGGGTTTGGACTTTTGACCACACAGATAGGTACATTCTTTATTTTCACACGTTAGATTTCTTTATAGCCGTTAGCCCGACAGAATTTTACATCCTGCATCAGGCATATCGTTATCAGGTCCAGACACT